CACACACACACACACACACACACACACACACAGGTGAGCTTCATTTAAACATGCCGGTATGCAAGATCTCTCTCTCTCTCGTTCGTTCCTTACTGTGCAAGTGTTTCTTGCAGACACACAAAGACTCCAACTCTCTTCCTTTGCAAATACACACACACATACATACATACATACACACAGACACACACACACACACACACACACACACACTCAATATTGCATGTGTGGAACTGACACACGCTCTGAAAGTGACCCTCACCGTCTGCAGATCTTTCCGGTTCCATAGCTCGAAGAGTTGGTCTCTCAGGACGGCAGGGTCAAGACCTGAGGGGGAACACACACACACACACACACACACACACACACACACACACACGAGGTGGGGTTTCACTCTGACCTTTGACCTCTATCAACCTGTCAAGAAATCAGCCTTTAAAGTATTTGTTTTTCTTTCTTCACCATGTGAGGCACCTGATGGTTTTCTGTTCAGGTCTTTTGAGCCTTCAAGTAAAAAGTTTTGATTTGGGAAAATTTAACTCTTACTACAATTGTTGTTTATCAACTCTTCCATTCAATGTTGCCTGGCTATAACGGCTATCACCTTATAAATAAAAGTTTGGTCTCATAATTACTGGTCATGTCAATAAAAAGGTAAAACTTTGTCCTGGAATACCTTGTTTTGTGTCCAAGCTAAATCTTAGCTGACAGGTAATGTGATACACTGGAAATATTGTTATTTAAAACAGGCATAGCCGAGTAGTCATAATGTCAAATATTATTTCTATAACAGGCATAGCAGAGCAGCCATAACATCGGATTAACAGCTGAGGCCGGTTGGATAGTAGAGGAACCCGGCATTAGCTCTGCATTCCGGCTGAATCTGCGGCCGAGACACTCCGCAGAAGACTCTCAGCCACGGTGAGTAAAAGAGCCCGGAGACAAGAGGAGATGGAAGCGTGCGTGCACGTTTTGTGTCTATCTGCCTGTGCGTGCGTTCCACTCAGACTTCCCAAAAGCTCCAGCTCTTTCTCTGTCGCTCATGCTGTGTGGGCTTTACCATACCTACCTCCCTCCCTCCTCCCCCCCCTCTTCCCAGGGCTAGTTTTCCTGTTCTCCTCTCCCTCCCTGCAGCAGCCTCTCTCGATTTTGTCTCGGATTTCCCCAGGAAAGGGCTATGTGGTGGTCATGGTGTAAAAAAAATACAACCTTCCTGATGCACAGCCTGGGAAAGCAGAGCACAAGACCTCTCCCTCTCTCTGTGTTGGCCTCTTTCTTTACTGCCTCTCTCTCCTGGCCGGACACTTTTAGTCTCTTTCATGTTGCCTCTTAGACATTAACTTTACCTGCCTGAGAATATTTATTCTCCATTTGTCTTCCAGCTGCACAATCTCTACTTCAGCTTGTTTTTTTTCCAGTCACTTTGCTTCTCTTTGATTGTATGATTGTATTTCACTCCCACGCTCATTATTTATCACTTGCTTCTGCATTTGGCCTCCTCCCTTGTTAGATTCACTGGTCTTTGTGTGCCATTTAGAAAAAACGCACAGTGATTTGAAAATGATCTCCTCTTTGCCAAAACCAGAATCCTTTTCCACTGTCACTGTCACGGATCCATCCGTGATCGGTTCGGACCGCCCCTCACGGTTTCGGACCGCCCCTCACGGTTTCGGATCACCCCTCACGGTTTCGGATCTACAGTTTAATTATCATAGTGTGTATAATACAGTTTTACTGCTGCTGTTCCTTTTCAAGTAACAAGTCCCCGAATATCAATGCAGTGTGTCAGCGGACAGATATAAAGCAGTAGTGTGTTCATGTGATCGGAGCGTGTTAGAGGCATTTAACGGTGAAAGTCTTGGCGAGCGGAGGAACTTGAGAAGCCCCCGGCGCCATTTAAGTCACATATTTAGCTTCCCTGTAACTTATAATGACGGGATGAGGGTGCTGGACAAAGGCGCTACGGTATGTAGGTGTTTAAAGAGAAAGACATACGACGACGGCAATACATCGGGCATGTCCACACATATGAAGAGACACCATCCCGGTCTGTCAGCGACGGGGGACACTCCGTTGTGGAAAACAAAGGATTTCAAAATTTGGTCAAAGTGCTTGAGCCACGCTACGAAATCCACTCACACACCCACTTTGAAGATCGTTCCTCTATGAAAAGGAAAGACTGACATCTCATCACGGAGGAGTGGAGATTTAAAGTCCGGTGCTGCAGACACGCCCCCCTCTGTGAGAGTCACACAGACACACATCTGGCGCTACCTTTTCCCCAGATAATGTAGATATTCTCATCTTTTTGAAAATAAATATCTTAAATATTAAATCTATATATAGCCCAAAGTTATTTGCTTTCAGGGTTCTTGAAGTTCTTTTAGTTAATAAATGGAAAGCAAAGCTATATATGTCCACCCCCCCCCCCTTTTCTTTGCTGATCCGAAAAATGATCCGAACCGTGACTCAAAAACCGTGATCCTATCCGATCCTAGTTATGACCCATTGAGTGCACATCATGCATTCATTTAAAAATATATATTAGTTTCTGATTTTTGTAAATGCATTTCTAATCTTCCCGACAATAAGTTATTTTAAATAGTTTCCTCTTGATATAAAAATCTATTTCCAGTTAGAAGAAGTTGCTTCTTAATCCATCTCAATGACTGTAATATCTAAATATGCTGAACTGTTGCATGGCAATGCAGCACAGGCTTTTAAAATCAACCTCCTCTTCAGTATCACACCAACACGCTAATGTAAAAGCAGCCAACATCGTAGCAGACTGGATATGTAGCAAATGGGCTAAGACATGCAAAAACACTGCAACGGTCCTCTGAAAGGTCCTTTAATTTCAAGAATTTGAATAGCTACAGAGTTTTCCTTTTGCTTTTCTCCGGGATTCTCTGATTATACACCCCACTCCAGTCCATTCATCCCACTGGCGAACACGCGTACGTGCACAGGGACTCAGACACACAGACACACACACACACACACCACAACCCACTTCAGTCTCGCTGCTCGTGTGAGGAGAGGTGAGGAGAGCAGGGGAATGTGAAGCATGCAGCTTCTTTAGAGTTTTTAGCTGGTGGATGAATGACAGAGTTGGAGACTCCCCATTCATTGCGACATAATAACCGCCATCATCACCATATACAAATACACGGACACGCATACAGTGCACTCATTCACCTTCGGGTGGGGGATTGTTTTTCTTCATTTTTTTTGGCACAAGATCACTTGAAATACAAGAAAACACTGTATTTAAACCAAGTGGATTTTAAGGTAATGATACACTATCTTAAAATCCCATCCTTACGAAACAATCAAAAATTGCACTTAGATTTCAGTCAAATTAGACAGAGATTAAATCCACAGGCAGGTCTAACTGCCTGTTGCCAGGCAGCTGCCAAAATAAAGGAAACACAAAGATCAAGTGTCTAAATGGGGCATTTGGTGTCACTACAGCCACCAGAACGGCTTCAGTGTGACTTGGCAGAGGTTGTGCATGTGTGGCTCAACTCCACTGGAAGGATGCCACAACATTCTTCGATAAGTACTTCTCTCCTTTTGTGTTTTGTAGTAGGAGCTTCAAAAAACCCCCCAAAAAAAACCTTTCAACAGGTGCTACGACAGAATCTTGAAAATGAAGAGAGTACAAGCACTTGCAGGATTCGATGCTTGTTAAAGCAGTGTTTGCATGTTAATTAACCTCTCCAGGATGTGGAGCGGCACATACCGACAGACTCTACAGTGAAAAACACGAGTGATGATGCTGATATCATTGTACACCCCCAAGAGCCCCGTGTGATATTACTGTTGGAGTCTGTACACAAATCATTCTGTACTTTCACTCTACATTTAACCCTCGTGTGTTGTTTCTATGCTCAATATTGGCAAGAGAACGGTGTGATAAAACTGTGATACATACCCGCTGCCTCTGGAGTCATACGGTCCATTTCTGTCCACCGGATGGTGTGCTGCTGTCACTCTAATGAGGGAAGGCACACAAAACAACACTTTGAATAAGACCGCCACATTTGCTTAAATACATTACCGTCACAACATGAGAGGAAAGATCATTTTATTTGCTACATATGTACCACATACGGTGCTATGGTAAAGCAACTGCACTTATAGCTTTTAGGCCAAGATACAATAACCTACACAAGACTTGTGAGTTCATGCATTTGCCCTAAGTGAATTTCGGCAATAACAACTTTGCAGAGTCTTGAACAATGTCACTGTACAAGAAGACTACACCAAAATCAAGGAAAACTGTTCATCATCTGATGATCATGAACCAGTTTTGCTGATTATCACTCGTGCACACACACACACACACACACACACAGTAACAGCGGACTGAGAAGTGTTAGACACCAGCTGGCTGTGAGACTTGATTCCAGTCTGAGGATGTCTTATCTCCCCGTCTAAATGCCTGCAGGCGTAACCCTCTGAAACCCAAGAATTGATTTCACTGATGTAGAATGTTCCCTCCTTTTTAAACTGTATTTTGCAAGCCTCTGATCAATAAAATAATGAGGAGTTTTTTTTCTTCATTTTTTAGAGGATTCCGTGAAAACGTTGCAAGTTGCAACAGCCGGCCTTAAGGCTAAAAAACATCAACGCTTAAATGTTAAAGTCCATAGATTATTGAGCATTGATGATTAAGTATTAAAATATGTTCAAAATCTATTAAAAAAGCCAAGTAATTTGACAATGGAAATCACAGTACATGAGAAGTTTCTGAACTACTCAAACCAACAATATACATAGACATATACATATACATACACCAAGGAAAATGCTATGTCTTTCTCTCATGACTTGTTACCCGGCCTAAATGTTGCTTTGATGCAGATTAAAGCGTGCAGCACTATGAGGGGAGAAGCACCTCTTTCAGGGGATGGAGGAACAGAAGAACCAGACTTTTGTTTTTGTGTAACTTATCTTCTACCCCCACCTAGTGGTAACAGAACACACATCACTTCCTGGAGTGCTTTGCTTTCATGCTATGTGTTAGCAAACATTAGCTTGTCTGACACAAACAAATCAAGCAAACCGTGTAATGACACGTGTTTGCGTGTGTTCATCTTTAAAACATTGCTCGGCTGTTTGTGATGTAAGAGCTAACTAAAAGCCCAAACAATGGTGGTCGGTTAGTTTTGGGGACGTGACACTGGTTAGCTCGTGACTGACTCACTTACGGCTAGCTCGAACCTCAGTGCTAGGTTGTCATGTTGCTCTCCAATATACAGTCGACTTTATTTTTAATTGTGTTGACAAGCGGATTTATATTGAATTACGCAAATGTAACGTCACGTTATCGATACGAAAGGACTCACCATGCGCTACTTTCTTCCAGTTTACTAGCTGTCGTCAGGTAGACTACAGTTTCGTTACCTTACATCAGATGAGTTTGTGGGGAACAGTGGAGCCATTCACTATCGTGTTTTTTGCCCTGCATTTGGTTTGCAAGGAAGATCTTGCTCTCACATTGAACACACACTCAGATCTTTTCGCAAGGATTTACAGAACATGACCCCTGAAACATGTCATTCTCTAACAGTAAACATCGACACCTTCAATGTCAGATATTTATCTGATGGAGTTTAACGGTAGCTATAAACACAATGTAGGTGAAGCTGCCTGTAAATCTGTACTGAGGGAAATTCTTAAATGTTTGACCTTGCTACGATTTAGTTTTTATTAGAGGCTGTCATGCAGAAGTGCACTACTGCCGACTTCTGGCCAATGCACAACAATTTTCTTTCCTTTTTTCACATATTTAGTCCCCCCGCCCCCCACACACACACACATAATCCAAAAATAATAACTAAACTATAAATGCATTTTAGGTTTCATAGTAAAAACAACAACAATTGCTTACTTAAACCAGTATGTGGGCTCGTTCAGTTTCTTCATCTCAGTTTGTCTTCAGGAAACACATCTCACAGTCGTGTTGCAAAGATGGGTCGTCTTAAGTGGAATGACGAATCAGCAGGTTTTGTCAACTGTAGTCATGTGTTTGGTATGTGAATTTTGCTGCATCAGTTAAAAAAAAATATTATTTATTATTATTTAAATTATTTAACAATCAAGGACATGTTGACAGTCATTACTACATTTGCCAGATACAGAGAAACTGCAGTGACAAAGAGGTGCAGTGGCATTGCTGCATACACTCTGTCTCATTAATAAAGTTGCTCAGGTTGCCCTCACACCTTCCATGAAGACCTGTCATTGAGGAGGGGTAACGTTCAGAAGCCCACAAACATGGACCTGTTTCTGGTTCTTCTTTACAGACCTCAACAGGAAGAGAGCGATACAGGACATGGGACAGAGAGGGGAAGATGACCATTAGTTAGGACTTGATTAGATTAGGTTAATCACTTCTCCAAATTGGTTGACAACATCACAAATTCTGTTATCTTATTCATGCTCGCCACTGAAGTTTAACCACATTCTATGAAGTGATAAAATAAATCCGGACCACTTTATTTCGCTCTGTTGTTGAAATATCTGCAGCATTAATTCAAAGATTAAAAAAAAATCACACCCTTCTGATTAATACACATTTTAAGTCTGGATCTGAAACAACAATACAATTCTGCATACAATGTTACTGTATTAAAACAGACATATGGCTTGAAAAACAAACCTGTTATTCACTGTTGATATAAAGAACCAGCATGGCAGCCTTACAAGAGATAATAAAAATAAAACACCATATAATCTACAAATAGTGCAAGACTGGTTATATTTTATGAAACAAACCAAACTGAAGTACAAATGTGTCCAAAATCTTTACTAAACACACAAATAAACATTAATAGGAGGGACGATACTTAAATTAAAGTTGCACAGACAAGCTTTCCTGTTACATTATCAGAATTTAAAACTACGAGGTCATGTTGCCCTACTACTTGATCTGTTTTGCTGGTAATGCACATTGTTCTGTCACGCCACCACACAGCAAACATTCACAGGGTCAGAGAAGTGTAATAAACTCGTCCTATTAGATAAATAACTCTTGATCCAAGTGAGTGGAAATGTTGAAACATGGAAACATTCTAACTTAGCACATAATATCCAGCAGATAACTTACAGCCCCCTCTTGTTTATTCGATTGAAGATATTTAAACCAGTAGTTTTTTTTTTTTATCTGGACCATAGGAGTAACCTATATCCATGACCACAGCATGTTATCAGTTTGTTGTCAACATCTGTAATAACTTTAATGACCTTCCATTCATCTTTGCTAAAACCTGCGAGGTCATGTCTGTCCAATAGTCTGCTTGTATATGTGATTATACAACTTATTTCTTGAATGAGGAGCTGAAAAGGGAGCATGTCCAGGTTTTTGTCTTGCATCATTTTTGTATGTATTTGTGATTTGCCAGGAAGCAACTGCATCAGCACAAAACAAATGGGCTAATAACAGTAACAAACAAGAAACACCAGGCGAACAGAGTTATGACTTGTTTTATTGCCGATCTGTTGTGATATAACTTCACATATTCTGTAAATGCTGAGACAAAATCATATTTCGCTAACGGGCGCCTTATATGGTGCTGCCTCATGTTGCATCTCTATGTGGTGAGTTCAGATGAGCAGCGATGTTTCCTCATCTCACTCAGTTGGCCTTCAGGAGTTCTCCCTCTGGAAATGAGCAAAAATACACAAAATGTTTTTATCATATGCTAGTGGAAGTGTGGTGTGTGGTTTTTTTTTTGTGTGTGTTTTATATTGACTTTATCAACTCACCATCATTCATTACCCCACAGTACTCGTTGCACTCAGCTTTGCTGTAGAACTTGTTGGCGTTGCCCTGGCAGAAGCCTTGTTTGTAGGGCACGCACAGACCGGCGGTGGAGTCAAAGGCCCAGATGGGTGGCTGGCCTGTGCAGGCTTGGGCCACCATGGGCAGACGGCACACAGCTGGGGAGACGGAATGTATTTTAATGTATTCAAAGAGGTTTTTTTTTAACAGTGCACGGACACAGAATAAACTGGCAATGGGCCACATATTGATAGTGTATGTATTGTTTGATCATCATATGCAGATGTTACGTTTCGTATTCCATTCCTCACCCTCGGTGCGACATCTTTGCAGACACTCTCTCTCGTTTAAAAAGTTGTTCTGGTTGCCCAAACACCCTCCGTAGAAGAAGAGTTCACAGCTCATTGAGGAGGAGTTGTAGTGGTAACGCGGCAATCTCCCAAAACATGGTCCTGTATCTGATGCTGCTTTACAGGACTCTAGGAGGGGAGAGGGAGAGATATATAGCACGAGTAAGGAGAGATACACATTAGTTATAGCATCAGTATCAGGCTCTTACATCTTACATTTAACGCACATACATTTTCATAAATGGGCAATGCTATCTAAGCGTATCAGGGTTATTCAACCTAGAAAGTGGATCACTTACCGGTTGCATTAAATAGAGGTGAATCATAACCAGAACCCTCAACGTCTGCAGTCGCCAAAGAAGGCACCACGTTTCTCTTCATCCGCTGTATCACAGACAGACTCGGTTAGAGATACAAAGACACCTGAACCCCAAATATTCCACTTAAATGTGTTTGAAAATCCTTTGAGACAGCAACGCAACTCAGAACTACATTATAGTTGCTGCATTTAATTAGAATAGTAACATTATAGATGTCTTAAAAAAGCAACAACATTGAATGCACTGTCCACATTGACATACTCCGAAAAGGACACTTTTTACAATGAGTACTTTTATTTATTACTTGCAGAATCTGTACATTCTGGTGCTAATACATATGTAGTTTTACTTGATACACTGCGTTGACGCGGAAATGTTGCACCCACTCTACGGTTCCCCCTTCAGGTAACACTGTTTGCTCTGTGAGCACTGTTACCATTCCAGCACAGTTAGCACTGTTAGCCCTGTTAGCTTCTAGCTGCTGGCTCAACCATCACCATGTTGATAGCCATGTGAAAGCAATGCCTCAATGATAGTTTGTCCTGAATTCTGTACATTCGTTTGATTACCTGAGGCTCAGGCTGATTTGGAGGCTCTGCCACCAACTCTCCAAGAACACAGTCTCCTGCGAATATTTTGAATGAAAACATGTCATAGATACGCATGCATTTTATAGCCAAACAATGTATTCTTTTAATGTGTTATTCTAGTTTTATTGCGCTTATGTTTTATGTTTGTATGCTGCAAAAACAATTTCCAGTTTCATGAACACTGATGGTAAAATATCTCATTTAAATATCTAATAGTATTTAGAGGTCTGTGCAAGTACAGTATGTGTGTGATAATCGGTGTTGTACCTTTATCCTGCTTAATGATAACAGTGTCATCACTCATTCCCTGTTGTCTGACCAGTGTTTTGAAGTCATCCAGCACAGTGTCTCTCACAGACATAGTTCGACCTGAAGAGGACAGAGCAATTCAGATGAAGCAGAAACGAAAACTTTTACATGATGTAAGTGGTTTGAATAAAATGTATTCACATCCCAGAAGATGGTCTATCTTAACATACACGAGGCGGGAAATCGTGATACTTGAATCAAATAAATGGAATCTAATACTTGAGATGTTAGAGCGAGAGTCTCCACTCACTGTAAAGCTTTACTGTTGTGCTCTTATCCTCCGATGTTTTCTTTTTGCTCATTATCACTATTGCATACTCATTGTAGTTTGTGTGAACCACGTAGGCGTCCACGTCTGCGCCCCACCCTGTGGAAAGGACAGAGGAGATAATCACCTGTAAAAACTTCATGGACGAAATGAAGTGAACAGAGAGCTGTGTCACTGCAGCATTAAACAGAGGGAGACATACTTGCAATATGGTAGGAGAATCGTCCTGGTGTGGTGGTCAACTCATAGTCCCCAGTGATCTCCTTACATGTTCCTTGTCTGCACACATCCAAAAAAACAAGACATTCTATATATCTATAATACACAGTAGAAACTGTCACCTTTACATTTTACCAGTGAAGTAGTCAGAACTTTTAGTTCAGTAAAAGTAGCAATACCACAATGTAGAAATTCTCTGTTACAATTAAAAGTTCTGCATTCAAAATTTGACTGAAGTAAAATGACAGAAGTACCAAAAGTAAAAGTACTAGCCTGATCTGTAATAATTCATCATCATTTATTTGTATAGTATACCTAAATCTACAAAGTAACTATAACCAAAACTGACAAATAAAAACAGTTAAGTTCAATAGTACCTCTTGAAAAGTAATGGAGCAGAAGTGTATAGTGGCAGAAAATGGAAAGTATAAGTACTCCAAAACTGTACTTGAGTACTTTAGTCAACTTCCACCATTGGGTTTTACACTTTGGACATTGTTCTGAGATGTCGTCGGACCAATACACTGCCAGGATTAGCCAATGTGTGTGCACGATTTACATAATATCTGTCTTTGTTAATTACACATTCATGTTTTTTTCTCCTTGATATCTCATATCTCATCTTGGAATAACCAAATTTCCTAAAACAAGTACAAATTTTTTTTATAGAGAGTCAAAGTTCAGACTGTGTTAGGATAACTTGTTGAATTTACTAAAGCATATCGGTATATTTTAATTTGTTTTTTTCCAGCTCTCAAAAAACGTTTGCCTTGGTCCGTTGGTGTGTAAGTGTGTGTTTGCGTCTAAGTGCGTGTAAATGTGTGATGCATGCACTTCCTACAAACCTCAGCATACGGCGAGTCATCTTGAGTTTGCCTTCAGTGGTGCCGGTGTGCAAAACCAGTTTACCGATGGCTGGATCTCCCTCTTCACGTTTCATGTGGGGACACGTACTTGCCACAGCAACATCATGCCATGTTCCAAAAAACTGTTAGAAATAGGTACCGTAATGTGTAAATGTGTAATAATACACATAACAACTATAATTGAAATGGGCAATAAATAGAAGAAAATAAATCTTACAATCAAATTAAACTTCAGTACACAAAATCTCACTTCACACAGATGACGTAACACTTACTCATGTGTGCTTAGTGAACTTATACTTGACTTTTCCTCGATGTAATGCCGTCTTTAGTCCAAACTGCTTTAACTTTTCACACACATTTCACACGCACAGATCACATTAGATTTGATCTTCTATTCTTAATTTTTAGGTCATTAATATGAAAAATTCCTCTGCCTGAACAGCCCTTTCTCCTAAAAATTGCTTTCCCATACAACGAATCTGCATTGTGATTTACGTTTCGAGCCAAACATATTTTGTCGTGATTTACATTTGCGTTTGACGTATCACAAATGAACTTAAAATTAGTCCGCTGAGCTCCGCTGAGTAGGGTGGATGTCAAGGTGGTGGATGGGTCAAAAAAAAAACAGGAGACTGCTGTTTGTGTCCTGTTTGAATCAAGAACTTTTATTGCATTTTTGTTTAGTTTTATTTCAATTTCGTAGTCATTTTAAGCCAAACCATGGTGTTTTTTACGAAACCTAACAAAGTAGTTTTGTTTAATGGAAATATTAAGTAAAGGTTATTAATCTAACAGACATAAGTACTGCGTTACAGCCTTTTCCCTCTTTATACTGAATGTATGAGTTCAAAACAACACATGCAAGTTTGCAGAACTCACCCGGGCCAGATCAAAGTTCTCCTGCGTGGGGTAGAGAGGGTCTGGGAGGACAGGGACCCCCTGAAGTGTCGAGGACCACCCCAGGACCAGCAGAGAAACCAGAATCATTGCTTTCTGCATTCTATCGGCCTGTCTGTCCACTCGTCTCTGAGAGGACTGATGTCTGAGGCACTGAATCCCAGGAAAAGTTCCTCCTCCTCCTCACTGTTTCTTTCCTCTCTTAACTATTCAAATGGGGACAGGGCATTGACCTGTTTTGAGTGCAGTGCACTCACTCCCACAGCCAAGCAGAAAGCAAACAACTGAAAGAGCAAAGTTCTGCTCTCTGTCTCTCACTTTGTGCTCTGACTTGCCACTGACCAAGTACACATTGAACTTTTGCAACATTAACAAATCAATACATGCCATGATCTGAGACACCAATAAGTAACATGATATTGTATCATGTATTGTGTTTGTGTTATATATGTTTTTATTGGAAGAAAGAACAACAATTGTCTCAAATACTAAGCACCTCAGATTTGACAATGCTGTTGGATGACTTTATATGATAAAATCATATTTACATTTTACAGGTACAGTTGTGTGAAAAAGTGTTTGCCCCCTTCCTGATTTCTTATTTTTTTGCATGTTTGTCACACTTAAATGTTTCAGATCATCAAACAAATTT